TAAAAATATATAAAATGTTAATTAAAATAAATATTAAATATATTTTACATATTTTTGGGATGATAAAGGACCAAAAAACCTACAGCTACTGCCCAGCACCATCAAACTAAGCCATAGACTGAACCAACAAAGATCTAAAAGAAACAAAGACACTTTGAATAATTTCTCTCAGATTGTATTTCTTGAATAAATAGGAGCATCCTTCAGAAAACATAGAAAAAATTAGAAATCTTTGTTTTAATAACATTATCGATACTACCAAAGATAAGCAAAAATTACAAGTAAATTTCTCATTATTTACATAAAGATCAGCACTGAATGATTTTAAACACATGCAATAACTTAGAAGCTGCAGTGGATTTTAACAGCATAAAACCAAACGAAAAATAAATGTCCATAGCATTTATTTAATGCATAAAATAATTCAATAATTCATATGGAACAAACTGCAAGTTTAAGGAAATCACATACCATCCTTGTCTGAAATCTGTACTTTGAGAAAAATTGTGTCATCTTCAGGATCCATTGTGCCTGTGATCAACATATAAGTATTCCTTGTCAGATCAGCCTCCACAGGAGGCACCAGCTCTGCCTCTATCCCCTTAGGACTTAATTTTTTACATGGGACTACCGGAAGGGGCAGCAGATCCTCTTCATAAGAGGCCAGAAATGGATCATGCAAGAGTTCCTTGGCAGGCAACCTCTTTGAAACATTCTCAAGGCATTTCCTCACAAATCGCTGGGCCTCTGCATCTTGAATTCGGTAGAATGCCTCTGGAAGCTTTCCCTAGAAGTTGAAAGTAGCATATAATCTATGTATGAGTACATTATTTTGGTAATTAATTACATTTTAACCAGTAATTCTAAAGTCTAACAACTCACTGAAGTCACTTTCTTGTAGATTTGTGCTGGATTTGAGCACTCACTATAGGGATACTCAGATGTTAGCATCTCCAAGACACACATACCAAATGCATATATGTCTACTAATTCATTGTAATCCTCCTCATACAATTCTGGTGCCATAAACTCCGGAGTACCTAACATTTACAAAGTTTTATAAAAAAAAAAAAAAAGAAGAAAAGTCAGACCCACACTATAGAAATCAAACAGGCTAAGTTAATCAATCATTGCTTTTAAGAGACAGAGAGATTGCCTATAACACTGTGAGCATGCTGAGAATTTCGGAGAACAGCTGCCAAGCCAAAATCACCAATCTTGACTTGTCCAAGGTGGCCATTGACGAAGATGTTATCACATTTGAGGTCTCTATGTATAACTGGAGGATTATGCTCATGCAAGTATGCCAAACCATGTAGAATTTGACGAGCCCAGTTCTTGATTGCACGCATATCTAGTCGCTGGTACTTCTTCCTATACCTGCATCACGTCCACAACATAATATAATGAAGGTAAAACAACATTGGAAAATTGCTTCAATTAGTCATGGGTAAGGACAAGAAGGTAATCAAATGACTGATGGCTGTAAGTTCTTGAGATTACTCTCTTAGGTTGCCAGAGGTAACCAATTCAGTGATGAAGTTGAAAGTTCTACGGTGAATGTCAATCCAAGCTGCATAGAGTCGTATGATGGACTCATGATTAAGGCTCTTGAGGAGGTGAACCTCGGAGTAAAGCCGCTGCAACTCCTCTGGTGAGTTGAAGACATCATTAACCTTCACCTGATTCCATGCCACCTCCATTCCATGGACCTCATCAAAAGCCTTATAAACCGTCTTCATGGCTCCTTTGCCAAGAATCTCTCTAAACTGTGGAGAAATTCTCACCATTATATACTCATTCATTCATCGTTAGATTGTGATTTCGAAAAAAATGCATACTTCCTCCAATAACACTTCAGTATTTCCTTCATTAATTACGTTCATAACTGGTTTCAATTTCTCAAAAATGATATATTATACAATATTCATGCAATAAACAGATAAAAAACCTGGAGAAAAAAGCAACATTACAAGTTATGTGGGTTACTTGATGCCAAACCAGCGGTAAACATTGTCATTTTTGTGGATTGTGTCATCCTATATTAACCAAATATTCACTCCAGCTCAAGAGTTTGATATTTGATTTTATTCTTATTACCTGGTCTATGGACACAGATATCTGTTGAAATGATCAAATGTTCGTTCTAGTAAGTTGGAAACATAACATAACTTGGTTTTGGATAAAGGTTTGTAGGGCTTTAATTACCCTGTCTCCTAATGGAACCACTTTGTAGAATCAGATGTTCAACATACACTCAAGTATCCATTCCTTACAACAATGAGTTCCATAGAACAAATCACGTTCTTGTTCTGCTAAAGCACTGAGTCACAATTATTCAATCAACCACTGTCAATAATATCTACCAGACTTATATGAGAGGTAGTTTCTTGAGGAGCTTTTAAGCAAATTGAAGGTCTCCTCTGCCTGTTGGCTGAACAGGATTAGCATAGAATAGTTCTATCTCCTCAATCTCAACAGACGGTAGACACTAGACACCCTCTCAAAAAGTCTTTGACAAAATCAGGCCTTTAACCTTTTCACATTCACATTTGCTTATGCATAATTGCATATATTCTTATGTAAACAAAGAGAAAGAACCATGCTTGAACTCAATTTCAAGTATTTTATTGTTGTCCATGGGAGGAAGATACCCCATGAAAATTACATGGGAAATTAGCTGATGACCAAGACCAAGGATCTCTTTTTCTGTGGTTTTTCAGTGCAAAATTCTAAATTTTTTTAGTGGGCATCAATTTTCTCTATTGTAAAACCCATTTAAGTCTAGAGACAGCAAGTCAACTTCTCCATAAAATCTTCATCTGAAGCCTGAAGGCATCAGAAATTGGTAAGTTAGAAAAGTCAAAATAGTTCTAGAAACAGCAAGCTTCTTAAATTCAACTCTATCTGATTCTAAATTAATCCTCTCTGTGATTATATAATATATTAATCAAAACAACATATCTCAAACGGAACATGACATGTAATATACTATCATTATTGCAAAATTCATCTTAGGGACAGATTATGTCTCCCTGGATGATCCTGAAATTCTGAAACAATCAGAATTCATCTACACAAAAGATTAAGGAGTTAGGAGAAGAACTTACACGTCCATAGCGGCCAGATGGGTCGATTTCAACGTATCCGAGCTGCGATTTGGCTCCATCAATACATCCTACCAAACGGGTCTTGTGCATGTCTGAGAAATGAAGAACCCACCAACCCTCTCCGGCTGAAAATTCAAGCTTCTACTATAAAGTGCCTCTAGATAATCAATATTAATCACTATAGAATCTAGGAAAAAATGTAGAATATTATTATGGAAGGCAGAATCTGAGAGGTGCTAGAAAATCCGAGGCTTCCACCCATGATTTTCGTAGGAAAAAACTCCAAATAATAACCAGAAAGGCCTATAGTAATCCACGCTGAGCATAATCCAAGCCATTTCCACAACAGAACGGGAGAACTTGTAGTCCTTGGCAATCATCTGGATGATGATTGATGAAGAAAAGGATATTTGATAGATTGTTCCAAGGTGGGTATGTGGGGAAGATTTTTGGGGAGTTTCTCAAAGAAGAAATCAACAGTAGCAAAACTGTTACTAGAGGGTGGAACGGAAGGGAAAGGGAATATCTTTCGTGTCAACCAATGAGACTAATAACTCGAAAAAGATGGGTTATGGAGGAGAATAGTCAAATTTTCAGAGATTGAAAAGATCACGTAAAAGAGGTGTTGGGATTCTGAATTTGAAGAACCTGTGGCCACACCTTGGAAGCACCATCGGTGGTGGCCAAAGTAAGCAATCAAAAAGTGGGGTTTTGGAGGGAATCTGGAAAAGAAGATTAGGACTTTGGTGGAGAAATTATCTGTGGAGGGATGAAGAAGGGTAAGACAATGAAAGAAGAGATGGTGGGGTTGGTGTAATATTAGGGAGAGAGAGCGATGGAGCAGCAGAGGTGATGGCTTTCTGGGGTCCTCAGAAAACAGAGGTGACGCAATTTTGGACAGAGCCAAAGAAGATGAAAGAGTTAATTGCATTATTAATGAGAAAGTCAGAGTCTTGGGGAAATGGGGTCTCATCGTCGGCTGCAAGCTCAATAGAGTCTGGAGTGGATTGGTAGGATCATGTAGTTTTTCAGATTTGTGTCTCCAGATATTTATAAGACTCTAGATATTTATAAGAAAAAGATGAAGGTGAAACCTTTAATTTCGTTCATTAATTATTGGATAGATTCATAATTTAATTTTTGAATTAAAAATTTGTTTATTTGATCTTTATTACTTATTAATTTAATTTTAAATTGATCATTTATTAAAAAACAATTAACATATCAATTACTTGACAAAAAGTCATTATTTAATAATTATATGTTAATTAATAATGAAACATGTCATTAACCTTTGTAAAAAATAATCAACTCAAAATCAAATTAATAAACAATAATAACCAAATTAAAAAAATTTTTAATTTAAGAATCAAATGAAAAGTTCATTTAATAGTTGGGAAACCAAATTAAAGATTTAATCAAAAATAAAAACAAAAATGGTGGTGTACTCAAAACTAACTCAGATTACATAACATAAAC